CTTGGATTGAATTCACTTCCTGTCTCCGCTGACCAGAAACTAAATCAACAAGAAAGTCCTTTTCTCTGTGAAAACCTCTTCTGAAGCTAAAACTGAGTTCTGCAAGTGAAAACAAGCTAAATAAAAGCTGAAATTAGCTAAATGAAAGCTTAAAGCTAGGATTAGTGATACATAAGAACAATAATTAGCTAAATAAAAGCTAAAAACAACCAATCAGTAGCCAAAAGTTGCAATGAAAATCCAACAAAGTTCAGTCAGGTCAACTGGACGGTTTCTTGTTTTGCTGAGACGTTTCGTCCTTCATCCTAAGGACTTCTTCAATCTGAGGAGTCGCCAAACAAACTGAGTCCCACAAACGGCTCACTCCCATAGTGGAAAAAACGATTTGCTGGTGATAAGATGGACTCCGGGGCCCACCCTCTCCCCCGTCAACTCCTCTGAGGCAGCCTTGCCAAATGATCAGAATAGTAGCTGAAAGCCAAAATTATCAGATTAAAAGATAATAAATTAAAATGATGTAAACAGTAGCTAAGTTTAAAACTGGCTATAACTAAATGGAAGCTAAAGGCTAAAATTAAAACTGTAGGTAAAAGCTACAACTAGCCAAAACAGTAAGTCAAAAGCTAGAACTAGCTTAACAGTTGCTAAAAATTTTAATATTCTTAGAAGTAGGTAAAACCTAAAATCAGCCAAACTTCCTAAAAAAAAACAAAGCTGTAGCTAAAAGTTACAACCATCAAAACTGTAAATAAAAAGCTAAAATTGGCCAAACGGTGGCAAAACGTCTAAATAATAAAAACTGTAGCGAAAAACTAAAATCAGCTAAACTAGCCAAAATTTTTAAATTAAACTTTAGGTAAAAGCAAAATTTAGCAAAACAGTAGCTTAAAACTATCAAAACAGAAGCTAAAATTGTAGCTAAAAGCTAAAAGTGAAGTATGCTGAAATGAATTTCAGAACTCCCCTTTCAAAGATTTGAAGAGTTAAATGCATTTTCATGATGGAAAATGTAAAGTTAAAATATTGAACAGTAAAATAAAGTTGCTGCTTTAATGTTCTGATTATTTTGACGGTTAAAATACCTGAAAATGTGCTGAAGTAGTTAAAAAAAAAAAATAATAAAAAACAGAAGAAACCATAAAGAGGGAACAATCTGTGAAAGCAGCTTCAGCGTTCAGACGATGGTTCAGGTTCTACAGTCGGATCGGATCAGGACCAGCTCTTACACCTTTAACGTGCTCAGCCAATCAGGAAGCAGATAAAAGTGACAGCAGCTTGGTCAGCAGCCGAATGAAGGCCGAAGCTCCATCTTCGCACACTCAGGCAAACGTTTACTCACTTGACTGGAAGCCATGTTGGACTCTGATGCTTCTCGGATGCATTAACGCCGTCGGCTGTTTTAAGATCAAACAGCTGCTCACTTTGTCCAGCAGCAGCTCCGAGGCTCCATTTGGCCTCACGTCAGACCATCAGCCACTCACAGCCCGATACTTTAGCTGTTTTAGACAAGCAAGGAGCTGAAGTCTAAAAAAAACTAAACCGAGAAACTGCTTTTTCAGCCAAAACAACACAAGTGCTGAGAAAAATGTAAAACTTTAACAAACAGGAGAAAACACTCCCTTTGTTTCTTCTTCTTCTTTCGGCTGCTCCTTCAGAGGTGGCCACAGCCAACCAACTCACACAAAGACGAAACCTACAGGAACGTTCTCCTGGAGGATAGAATTAATTTGGACGTTCTGCTCTGAACTTTAAACACGTCTGGGCGACCTCTTTGTCTCTTTGTAGCGTGCGGGGGAACCCCAGTTTCAACGGGCCGCATCACGAGACTTCATTACGTCACTCTTTTATTGTGAAATGTAAAAAAGAACGTTTGGCCGACGACCAGCGTTAGAAGCTGTTGGATAAAAATATCCTCTGTTCATCTTTCTTATTCAAAGAAGCCACGCTCGAGGACACAAAGATATTAACTGGTTTTACAGTCGAGGGCAGAGTTTCACCACAGGTTGCACAGATGTATAACCAGTGGCTCCCAACACTGGTCCTTGAGGAACGCCATCCTGTATGTTTTAATCGTTTCCCTGCCTTGACACGTCTGATTTGAATGAATGAGTGATTAACGGGTTGCAGAACATGAAGTAATTAAGTCACTGAATCAGATGTGTTGGAGCAGAGAAACAACTAAAACATGCAGGGTGGTGTTCCTCAGGGATCAGGATTGGGAACAACTGATACACATTCTACATGCATGGAGCCCGTTCACAAGAACCTGCACTGGGCAGTGTGCGAGAATTGTTTTTATTCGCTTATCAGCTCTCGGCTCAGGCAGGTACAGATGGCCTCGGCCACACAGCTGCACATGCAGGATCAAATCAGCTCCTCATTCAGTTCTCTGAGGGAGAAAAGCGCTCTCTTCTAACTCAAACGCATGGTTCATGGGCAGTTAACATTCTCAGCCATAGTACCATAATTTTCGGACTATAAGTCACGTCTTTTTGCATAAATTAGCAAGTCCTGTGACTTGTAGTCCAAAGCGTCTAATTTACGTTTTTTTCCCATATTTAGAACAATTTTTGGCTGAAATCTGATGATTTCATTCATTCTGACATGGAAAATATTGAACATTATCATTTTCAGCCACTAGAGGGCCCTCGAGTAATATGGCAAGCCCAGTGTCTCATTAATAAGTGTCTATTAATGAGACACTGGGCTTGCCATATCAAGTCACCTTCGTATCGCTCCAGAACTCATGGAGCAAACGTCAAATCAGCTGCATTTTGCTGCGTCGCCCAGGAGAAATCTATCAATCAACCTTTATTTATCAGCTGAAATGCAGCTGATTTGACCACTAAAGTGCATCTATTAAGGAAAAGTTAGACTGAGACACACTTTCACCATAAATTCGAGCAAACAAATAATTGTTTTTAAGTGTTAATCTTGTTAAATTATTGTTAAAGTCCTCCCGTGCACGCTCCCACGGCCGCCATTTGGCAGCCAATCAATTTTTGGCACAACACCGGCCTGCGTTTCCAGGTGGTCAGCGGTGACTCATAATGGGTGCAATTTATAAGGCAACGCGACGTATTTGTTTTTTTCCACTTTATTAGACATAACAGGACTGATGTAACTTATATGGCAGAAAGTACGGCAGTTAAAAAAAATCTATAAACCGTGAGCAACAATCCCCTGACAGAAGCCATGTTGAACCACTGTGCTACGTCACATGGGGCGGTGACGTGCAGTTATTGTCCGAGCAGGAAATGAGTTCTTGTTCCCCTTAAACACAAATCTATACGAACAGTGTGTTCGCTCATGCACACACGCACCCTCAGTGTTTTGTATGAACTCCTTACTGGGCTTTTGATCCAACGAGTGTCAGGAGCTCTTATCTCCTACTGGGCAACACACATTAGTGGCTCGCACATGGGCTGAAGCGTCTCCCCGCCGAGTTGACCCCGTCGCACGCGCGCTCACAAAGGAGGTTATTTTCGGGTCGCCTCGGCGAACACAATGAAAGGGCACGCCCACACACAGAAGCGGCAGCACGTGTCCGAAATCCTCCCAGAAGTCTGTGAACACGACCGTCTGTGTGTTTAAATGTGTTTGAGCTGTGACTAAAGGCTTTCAGATTGACAATAAGACGTGTGCGGGTGGGTGCGCATGTGTGTGCGTGTGCAAGTAATGATTACTGCCAGGACAATAGAAGTGTGCCTGCTCAGTTGTTATCAGCTCGCTGGAGACTCACAGGCCTGCAAGTTTTTTTTTTAAAAACCATCTTTCAGCATGAAAAGGAAGAAATGAAAAGGTGAAAAAGAAAAGATTCCCTCCACACTCCTTTTATCGGAGACATCTCGACAGTCTGACACCAGCTTTAGATGTTTGAAAATAAGCTGTGGAATTATGATTTGTGCAGTAAAGATGTTGGTTTTTTTTTGTTTGTTTGTTTGTTTGTTTCAGTCAAGTTTATAAAGAGGCATGTCACATTTTCACTCGGTAAGCAATAAAATTAAAAACAAACACCATGTACAGCAAACAGAGCAAAAAAAAACAAACAAAAAAAAAACAAATATAATAAAAATTGCCTTTTGTGATTTTAAAACCTTAGTATCAGCAGAAAGTAAGGAATTCCATAATCTGCATTTTGAATAAATTAAACTAAATCTTGATTATTTCCTCCCAAAGGGGCGGAGTCCGTCTCTAAGTGGAAAAGGGACTTCATCCTTACGCAGTGACTCTTCCTTTGTTTGTTCTCATTTAAAAAGAGGTGGATTCTGTTTCCGTCAAAGTGGTGAAATGCCATGTCTTTATGCAATGACTCCACCCGTTTTTGTTTTCACCCAAAAAGGGGTGGAGTCAGTTACTGTCAAAGTGGCTATGTACTTTGTCTGAAGGCAGAGACTCCACCCCTTTTTGCCTTTGCCAAAAGACAGGCAGTCTCTGTCAAAGTGAATATTTTGTTCCTCTGTGTTTTTACCCAAAGCAGGGTGGAGTCAGTTTAGGTCAAAGTAGTTAAATACTTTCTCCACTACTTTACCGTTTCTGTAATACTTGTCTGTCTTTATGCAATGACTCCACCCCTATTTGTTTTCACCCAAAAAGGGGTGGAGTCAGTTTTGTTCAAAGTACCTGAATACTTTCTCCACTACTGTACCGTTTCTGTAGTACTTGTCTGTCTTTATCCAGTGACTCCAACCGTGTTTGCTTTCACTTTTAAATGGGTGAAGTCAGTCTCTGTCAAAGTGGATCCATAATACGGTGTTACACAATAACACCACCATTTTTTTTTTGGGGGGGGGGGGGGGGGATGAAAACAAAAGTACATCCTGGATGTTTTTATATCTGTATTTTGCACTGATCAGTCATTATTCAATGATCTAAAGTAAACGTTTGCACCACGTAGATATAGGCTCACAAAACAAACTCAAAAATCCCAGTTTTATAAACGCATAGATACTATGTGAGCTATAAAGTCATGCTAGTTTGCTTTTCCGTGTCTCCACCAGGATGTCTGTCTAACCTTCCACCAAATGCCAAGAAGATCTCTAACTCGTACGAGGAGCGGCGCAAACAGGCCACCGCCATCGTGCTGCTCGGAGTCATCGGAGCTGAATTTGGCGCCGAGATCGAACCGCCGAAAGGCTCGGGCCGAGCTCGAGCAGGCGGACAGGCACCTGAAGGTTTTGGACTCACGAGCGGAGGGTCGTCGAACTACTCTTTGGCAAGACACACTTGTAAGTAAAGAAACATTTTAGTTCCTTGTCTCTTTCACAGTCTCAGCGTTTCTCTAAGTAAATCTTGTTCATTTTAGTGTTTTATTTTATTTATTTATTTTTATCATTATATCATGTATCGCAATATTGATAAACAATTTGTTAGATCCAGTAGGATAACTAAATAAATATTAGCTCCGGCATCTCTAGGTTATTACTCCTTTTGTACGGACTGAACAGTAAAAAAATAAAAATTAAGCACTTTAACGCAAAAAGGTTGACTGACATCTGCAAAATGGCGGACAGAGGCGACAGAATATTACCGCTAAAAGATCACGAGTTTGAATTTGATGTGGGTTTTTGCAGTTTGTCAAACACTGCGATGTGGTGTTTAAGGTTTTATACCAAAAAAGAAAAAGAAAACATTAGATGTGATGCGTGTTATTCTTTTTTTCACAGGTCATGTATTGAGTATCGTATCGCAGTTCCCTGTGATTCCCATAATAACAGTTACAAACGGTTTAGACCAGTTAATTACGTAGTTTCAGTTTTGTGTTTTTTGGACATTTTCTCTTCATAATAAATTACTATAAAATTGGTAAAACTACCGGTATAATAAAACTACATCCACGTTGACAAACCACTGATCGATTGTATTGGCTCTTAGAAAGTCTAATTTCCATAAAAGCTTAATTTAATCACAGTGTTTTGTTAAAGTTTGTACAAACATTTGATTGTAGAAACGATGAAACAACGCTCCCACTGAAATTAAATGGTTAAAACCGTTGGCGCTCCACCCATTAAACTCTCCAAACTTTGATGTTCTGCTGACCTGCTGGTCATTAACCTCATGGAGCATGTGAGACGGAGTTTGAACAGCTTCACAGGACCACCCGACAGTGGTTTCAGTCCAAAATCTTCTTTTTCCCCCAAACTAAGAACTCCACAGTGAAGCTCGAGTGCTGGATTAAAGGTGAGGAGAGAGGAGAGATTGATTTTCACCCGCCAAGCCTGACAACTTCCACATACTGTACACCCCGAGCCCAGAGACCGGCCTGCTGCGCCGGCAGCGCTGGACCTCGGCGGGCATCAAACCTGCACTAAGCAGGGCTGCTCTTCCACCTCACTGCTCCCGAGCTCTGATTGGCTGCCTCGAGGGGGGCGGGGGGGGGGGGGGGTCAGCCGCCTAGAGACAGAACCTGAGCTCCACTGATGGACCACAGAGCGTGGACCTGAACGCAGCAGTCTGCTCACCTGTTCAACAAACGCACACCTTCACATTAAAACATTTATTTATTTGACAAACTAAATGAAAATTATAAAAACAAAAAAAATTCAATTAAAACAATTTACTGAATTAAACCACGACTGAATATAAAAACACGAGAAAATAAAAACCAGCAATTCTTTAATTTACTGAATACATTCCATCCATCCATCCTTTCATTCATCCTTTATTTATAAATAACCTTTATTTATTCATCCATTCAGCCATCTATTCATCCATCCACCATCTATCCATTCATCCATCCTTTCATTCGTCCATACATCCAACTAAACATCCATCATTCAACCTTTATTTATAAATAACCTTTATTCATCCATCTACCATATATCCATTCATCCATCCAGCCTTTCATTTGTCCATACATCCAACTAACCATCCATCCATCTTTTCATTTATCCAACCAACCAACCATCCATCCTTTCATCTGTATGCCCATCCTTTCATATATCCTTCCACCCATCTATCCATTCATCTGTACATCCACCCATCCATCCTTTCATCCATCCTTCCATCCATCTAGCCACCCATCCATTCATCCATCCTTTCATCCATCCATCCTTTCATACATCCATTCTTTCATACGTCCATCCTGCCAGCCAGCCACCCATCTATCCATCCATCCTTTCATTTGTCCATCCATCCATCCATCCATCCATCCTTTCATTCATCCACCCATTCATCCATCCTTTCGTCCATCCATCCTTTCATACATACATACATCCAGCCAGCCAGACACCCATCTATCCATCCTTTCATCCATCCACCCATCCATCCATCCATCGATGTATTTCCATTTATGTTTAGTCATGGAGGGAACCGGTCCAGAAAAGAAACCCCAGACCTCCTTCTCCTCGAGGGTGCCCCAAAGATCTTCCCAGCCCACAGAGGATAGAGAGAGAGTCAGAGAGTCTCCTTCCTCTGAGACATTCCTGTGAAATATCTAGGGGGAGGAGTTAATGAGACATCCTCATTTACCTGAACCACCTCAGCTTACTCCTTTACCTCATGAATCCAGGACCTCATTCTTTGGGTCCTGATCCAAAATTCATGACCATGGGCGAAGGTTGTTATATAGATGGACCAGTAAAGCGAAAGTGGATTAGCGCCATCTTCACCACAACAGACCGGAGCAACGTCCTCGTTACCGCAAACACACAAAACAGCTTTACTCATTCACGACCTTCAGTCCGATGGTTAAAACCTTCAACTAGACCATCAACGATGATGATAAACTTTTTGTCCTCCCTCCTCCTCCTCCTCCTCCTCCTCCTCCTCCATCCTCCTCCTCCTCCAGTTACCTGTTTTTCTCTGCGTTATGACACTGAAAGATGGATCGGTGTTGTTGGCATACAGCGCGGCGTTGTGATGAATGAGAGCTGTCCACGCAGTTAGAGGGAGGGTACAGGAGTCTATACAGCAGAGCAGAGATGGATGTTTTCACAGGGCGAGGGAGGGGGGATGTCGAGGAGATGGAAGGGGGATGGAGTGCAGAAAAGAAGGAAGGAAAGATGGACGGATGATGACAACAGGAAGGCAGAATCAGGGACAAACTGCACATCAGCGTATGGTCTCTGGACCATAAGGCTCACAGTTAAATGTCAGGAAAACCTGAGCCCCTTCTGAGGCCCCATCCCTCTCAGCCGTGGCATTTTCAAACATTTATGAAAGCTAATTGGAAATTGAGTTTTACTTTGTATGATAGAGAAGTCAACAGGGAAACACCGGGAAAGAAACTAACGCGGTTTATTTTCACATCAGCAAACCGTCAATATGTCTGCGGCGGTGGGTCAGGAACTCTGAGTCCAGACCTGCAGGATCTGACGGACTCGGAGGAGTTTGTGAAGTTGACGGTAATTTCAGGTGTTAAATTAAAGTAGCGGCTCTTTAGGAAATCATCTCGCTTGCCCCTTTGCAGCCGGTTCTGTGGTTTTTCTGGGCTTGGATCAGGGTTCTTGGTAAAGCAAAGAAGCTCCAAATTCTCAACCTGGTGAACAAATGAACCTTCTGATAGATGTTTTTATGGTCTGGAGACAAAACGTTCAACTCGGCATGCAAAGAACTTTAAAGAGCATCAAGCCCTGTGTGAAGCATGGTGGTAGGACCATCATGCTCTGGGCCGTCTGACTGCACAAATACAACACTGTAGGTCCAGTTCTGTCATGATCTGGGCTTGGATCAGGTTTTTGTTATGGTTCAAGGTTTGGATCAATGTTCTGTGTTGGTCTGGTCTTGGATTAAGGTTAGATGTTGGATGGAGTAATTTCTTCTAAGAGACTTACTCTTAGAAGTAGATCCATTCATTCATCCACCCATCCATCCATCCATCCATCCGTCCATCCATCCGTCCATCCATCATCTTCAGTTTGTTCTGGACTCAGGTCTTGAGGGCAGCATCTTGAGCAGGTGAGGGAAGGAACGTAGACTGACCAGTAAACAGAGAGCTCTGCCTTATAGCTCAGCTCCCTCTTCACCACAGCAGACCGGCACAGAGTCCGCAATACTGCACCAATCCATCTGTCAATCTCGCGCTCCATTCTTCCCTCACTCGCGAACAAAACCCCGTGATACTTGAACAACTCCACTTGAGGCAGAACCTGACCCTTGACCTGAAGAGGACAGTCCACCCTCTGTCTGAGGACCATGACCATCATACTAACTGTTAAAACAAAAACACACAACCGTAGCTGGACTGGTATTTAGTTGAGTATTTAACCAATCATTCTAAGCTAAACGTCACATTTTTCCCTCCTGGTTCTGCTGTTCCTCGGCAGCCGGTCTAATCCAGATCTCATCCTCTAACTGAGTCCCCGACATTGATTTACCTTCACCTCTCATTTATGCTCAAACACAGGCAGATGAAGAGGAGGGCAGCTGGGGAAAGAAAAGCACAAAGCCTGTTAGTGCTCGTTTCAGCCCGGTAAATTTCAGACATCACTAATCTGTCACTGTTATCCCCCCCTGCAGCCCCCCGCCGCCTCCTCGTGCTCTAATCAGCCTCTGTCTGTTAATGGGACGGGTTTATTGCCCCAGCTAACACCTCATTACAGCCGAGTGATGTTTTGTCAGGAGCTGTTGTTCATTTGGGTCCAAGCCGGCCTGTAAGCAAAGAGCTCCGCTGTGAGAAATGGATCGCTCACTTCCTGCTCGCTAGCTACAGGGGGCGGGGCTTTAAAACCGAACCTCAGTGCAATACGGTGCTGATTAATTCAGCTCATTTAAGCGTGATCATCTTTTTCCCTCCACGTAGCAAAAACTTTTAGTAATCCTTTCAGCTGTTCTTGATCTTCAGGCTCTCTGAAAGTCTTGGTTTTTATTTGGACTTTGTACGTGACTCATTAGTGTCTCACTGGGCTGAGACTGTTGGAGACGAGAAGGTCTCCAAAAACATCTCAAAACGGTCTCAGGGGTCCTTAATTTTATTGCAGTGTTGTTGCTTGAAATTTGAACATGCGCCCAAAAAATTGTGCAACACGTGTCACAAAACTATCTCAAGCGGGTCTTAATTTAGTTTCTGAAATACTAGATATGTATTTTGAAACCTGTACAGCAATTCTACTTTCACAGCAATCTTCTGATCTGAGCTGCCAGGAGAAGCTCTCCGTTTACTGTTAGTCTATGTTCCTACCCTCACCTATGGTCATGAACTTTGGTAATGATGGACCTGGCTGGACGTCTTCCCAGGAAGGTGTTCAGGGCATGTCCTACTGAGAGGAGACCCGTCCTGACAACATCTTGGAGTCCTCCCAGAAGAAGTGGCTGTGGAAAAAGATGTCTGGACCTCCCTGCTCAAACTGCTGCCCCCGAGACCGGACTGTGGAAAAGGCCAAATGTTTTGGATAGATGAATGGATGAACATCCAAGACACAGCATAGAATGTCCAGTCTAACAACCATGTCAATGTTACGTACTATTTATGAATAAACTATTACAAATCAGACTACCATCCATTATCTTTTACCCACTTCTTCCCTTCAGGGTCACTGGTGCCCATATCCAGCCATCACTGTGCGAGAGGTGGGGGACACCCTGGACATGTCTCCAGTCCATCACAGGGACACATTGAGACAAACAACCATTCACTCACTCTCTCTCACCTAGGGACAATTTAGAGTTACCAATCAGACTAACATGCATGTTTTTGGTCTGTGGGAGGAAACTGGAGCACCCGGAGAAAACCCATACATGCACGGAGAGAACATGCAAACTCCACCCAGGAAGACCCCCGGACCGGGATTAGATCCAACGATCTGCTCACTGAGAGGCAGCAGCTCTACCAACTGAGCCACCGTGCCGCCCTTCTGCCTGCCTTCATTTTAAAAGTGCACTCTCTCAAGGTTGAATCATAAACGCTGAGCAGCTACCCAGGGGGTACCAAGGCGGGCTGTTTGAGCGAAGTCAGGCAACAAAATAATGAGCATTACCTTGAATACAGTTTCCATTCTGTTCCCATAAAATAAGCGATGAACTAGAGTGCCTTGTCACAAAACAATTCTGCAAATATGTTCGCAAAGACAAGCCCGTGTTTAAACCCGTTTCTAAAAGCACCAGCCGAGCCGCCTACGTTCAGTCGTGATGTCGTCCTGCACAACGAAAACCATCACTGACGAACCTCTGAGCAGCGTCGATGCTTGGACTGGAACTTCAACCTTCTCACCAACTCAACCCTGTGACTACCTTCTTCTCCAGTTCGGAGGCATAGCAGAGGCACTTTAACTTCGCCCATACCACAACATCATGCCACTACGAAAATTACACTAGGATGGCCAAACGTTCTTTTAAACCCGACTTGAAAGTCTTAAAAAATGTTGCTTCTCGGACGGTGATTGATTTGAAAGAAGCGAACAGCAGCTAAAACTAAAGTCAGTTAGGAAACAGTGTTTATGAATAATAAACCACTGTATTATGTAATAATGTAATGTAATAAAGATCTTGTACCCATTGACCTTTGACCTCCACCAAAGGATCGCAGCAGATTACACAAATAATTAAAATCGCTTTTAGTCGTATTGTTTTTTCCTGAATCAACTTTCACTTTTGAAAGAATTACCTGCAACCAAATGCGCGTCTGTAAGAATTTAGTTTCAAATGAGATTAAAAACCGAAATGTGTTTTTTTTTCTTCTGCGTTTCTTTGTTTGACTGTTCCTGAAGAACCGCTAAAAGCTCTGACTGCCACACGTCTGATGGGAGGAGGGAAAGTGACGAGCTCCAGTGTGTGGGTGTTGGTCTTTAGGGAAGGGGAGTGTTATTGAGAGACGGGGGGGCTGGGGGGGAGGTTCTTCAGTCTTAATGGTCAGTTCGTCCCCTCAGAGACTGGCTCAAATGTCAGGTCAGCTATGAAATGACCCCCCCATCCAGTTTGCTGTCTTTATCTCCTGACTGTGCAGCACAAAATAGGTTCATTTTCATCTAAATTTTATTTGAATTCTTAGGATTTATGCTTTTCTATTTATGAAAATAATTGATTTCTTTATGGGAAAAATATTTTATTTCAAATGGCTCCCATGTTGCAGTGGGGGGAGTGTAAATTTTTATGTCTCTACCATGTTTTTTGTAGGACGCATGGCAAGTTGAAAAGACGTTTTACTTACAGTTTGGAAGAAAATGGGAGCATTTGTGTGCGTACACTCTGTGCTTTGGGGGGGTTGAGAGAAAAGCACAAGCAGCGAGACGCACTGGGTGAAAGAAAACAAAAATACCTACGTTCAACAATTTCCTGCGGGATCAATAAAGTTCTATCTTATTTTGATGTGTAAGCTGTGGAAGAAATGGAGTTTGTGGGAGTAAGAGGAGTTTAAAGGGTTTTTAGACCGTTACAAAGATAAAAGTCCAGTTCACAGTAGAGCCTGAACGATATGGAACTTTTGTCTATTACCGCTACCGATATGGGGAGGGGTCGCAAATGCCAAAAACCGATATAATGGCTGAAATTTTTTAGCTTTGTCGGCCCCCAAGAATCTAAGAAAACAGCGAGTGAAGCGTGGCTTGTTTATTTAGTGCAGCTGTTAGCAACCATGAAGCTAACCAAATCAGATCCATGCTATACGTAGGTTTACACGTTCACTGGTCACAAAAACAGTCTTCCTAACATTTGGTCACTTTTTCTATCCTTCACTATTCACCATAAAGTTACCAATTATATTACAAAAATATAATTAAACAAACAAAAGTCATTCCTTTTTGTTTAAACATTCAGTCACGTACGGTGAAGGTCTAATTAGTATTGACCGCAGCAGAGTTTATTTTTCTTTGTAGAGAAGTAAAGATTTTAGAAATATAATGCATTTCATTGAGGACGACAAAGATGACGATACTGACACTGATATATTTTACCTCCGTTAGATTTATTGTTCTGGATAAAGTTTTATAGGCAATAGCCTATGCTAGGCTATATAAACGTTAGCTTGCTAACTTGAGAGGCACGTAGCTCATGACAAGCAGGTTGGAGGATTGAAGATAATTATTGTTGATTTATTTTACAGATCTGTTAAAATAAACTCACCATGCTCTGTTCAGCAAAATATGCTACACAGTATTGTTCCCTGCTGCGTCTGTGCTGAAAGTGAAACTTAAGTTAATGGCCATGACTTTAAAGTAGTCTTCATGCGCCCTCTGCTGGATACATTGTGCATATACAGATGTTCTCAGCATTTTAGGGGTGAAAATTAGAAGTATTTATATCAGCGCATAATGGAACAGTTATCACCGATACCGATAGACCCCCAAACGTCTATATCAGCATAAAATATCGGCCCTACCGACATATCAGTCGGGTTCTAGTTCACTGTAAAGTCCAAATATCTGTGACCCCTTTTGAACTTTAAGATGTTTCTGCTGTGAAATACGACTGAGTTGTACCAACTGGTTCAACAAAATCTTTTTCTAGAGTGTGTGTGTGTGTGTGTGTGTGTGTGGGGGGGGGGGGTCAGTTTTTGGCTAATTTTGTCCACATCTTCAGACGTACCGCTACAAAGTCTTTGCACTCCATTCCTGATTGGACTTCGTGTTTTGATGCATTATTTTTATCGTTTTGAAAGTTGCAGGAGGAACACAGACAAATATTGTGATTAAACTAGAAGAAAAAGGAGTTTGTTAAAATTATGAAGGTGATTCTGTGGGTTTTTACCTGTAATTAGTTGTTTGTGCGCTATTAAGCAATTTTTATTAAACAGATTTATTAGTTAATGCATTTACCACGTCCTTTGTTGTTTCTAATGTTTGCTGGGAATTCTTGAAAATGTTTAAACATTAAAATTGTGTTTTGACTGCTTTTACTTCAATAGGTTGCACAAAAATGCTTGAAATTCTAATTACTTTTAAAATAAATTAGTTTTCAGTTAAAGAAAAATGCTTTTTATTTATTGTTTTTTTATTTATTTATAAAACCAAACAAGGAAGCGTTGTGTGGGGTTATCTGTGTTTGGAATCATACATATTTTATTAAAATAAAAAAACTGGCTTCTTCATTCATTTTTCCAACATTTTGTTTCACACATTGAATTCCTTTGTCAATTTTGAACATTTTTACAGGATTTGAAGTTTATTTTAGGATCAGTAAAACCAGCTGGAACTCTATTGTGGAAAAGTTTTAATTTTTCTCTAAAATAAATCAAAACAAAATAAATCATTTGAGATTTTAAAGCTTTAAAATGCTTGAAAAGTGTTTGAATTTGATTGAAACCCTTGAATGAAGATCCTGGGTTTTGCTGTTTGCAGGTAAGGCGCTGACGTTCCTGCTGCTGCAGCCCCCCAGCCCCAAGCTGCCCGCCCACAGCACCATCCGCCGCACCGCCATCGATCTCATCGGCCGAGGCTTCACCGTCTGGGAGCCGTACATGGACGTGTCGGCGGTGCTCATGGGACTGCTGGAGCTGTGCGCCGACGCAGAGAAGCAGCTGGCCAAGTGAGTTTCAGACGACAGCCGTGAGTAGAAACTAGAGCCCGACCGATATGGACATTTGGGCTATCGCCGATACCGATATTGGGAGAGTTTGTGACCGCAGCTAATCGATTTAATGACCGAAAGTTTTTGAGTTTTGTCCACCCCCAAGAATCTAAGAAAACAGCTACATTAGATTTATCATTCTGGATAAAGTTTTACAAGGCAATCGCCTATGCTACGTTACCTAAACATTAGCTTGCTAACTTGAGAGGCACGTAGCTAATGACAAGCGGGTTGGAGAATTGAAGAGAATTTTTTGTTGTTGATTTGTTTTACAGATCAGTTAAAATAAACTTACCATGCTCTGTTCAGCAAAATATGCTACACAGTATTGCTCCCTGCTTCAGCTGTGCTGAATGTGAAAGTGAAACTTAAGTGAACAGCCATAACTTGAAAGTAGTCTTCATGCGCCCCCTGCTGGATACATTGTACAATTACAGCTGGTTAGAAGCCTTTATATTGGTGCATAATAGGACATTTATCAACGATACTGATCTGTCTCAAAATGTGTATATCGGCCCCCACCGATATATTAGCCTTGCCAATATATCTTTAGGGCTCTAGTAGAAACGCACAATATATCGCATTTATCGTCATCGCAATAGGAACATCGCATCAGACTGCAATGAATCATGGGTATAATGCGTTCATGTTTTACTGCTAATGATATATTTGGTCATTCTCGGGCCTTCAACAACCATCAGGAAGACCTTTCTCTTGATGACCTTAGATAACGGATCATTTGATGCCTGCAGACGTGAAGTTGATCATTGAAGCATCTGACAGTCACAAATATTCACACGTTCTTTATTTAGATCGTCTGCTCCAGTACTCTGTACTCAGTTTGTTCTGGTGACGGTGAGTGCAGGCTCAGGCCGTTAAACGAGCGCACAGTGGATGGATTTCCATGCAGCTGACTAGAAGTGAGCTTTTTGTGTCTTTGATACACCCTACCAGTTGTCTATACACTTCGTGTTGAGTGTGTGTGTGTGTGTGTGATAATCCCTTTTCAATAGAAAGGGTTTTTAAAAAAAAGCTCCTTGTGTAGAAAAATTGCACACATTTAATGCTCAAGAAACACGAGCTGGTAGAAAAAAACCCGCCATCACAAAGGCCGAGGTTCTCCTCACACCTGCAACACGCAGCTTTCAGCCGAGCCCTTCGGACGCACAATAAACCTTTTCAAGACAAACAGAACCGTAATCATACAGTACCAAAGAGCAGACAGCAGCACGTTCACTCCTGACGTCGTCAAACCCACTAATTTATCACTTGTAGAAAAGGATTCACGTAGATTCGTCTCAATTTAATTTCAAGGATTAAATTAGAGAAAAGACTAAATATTAGACCAGCTTTGGTCAAAATCCTGCAGGATTATTATGCCCAAGTAGTTTCCTTTAGTTTGGGCTGGGGGTTGTTTTTTTTATGGGACACGTTTGATAGAGAGGAGTGAAGGAAGCCATCTTTGTGAAGAGAACCTGTCAATCATCAAACGGGGCGGAGCCTCTGTGTCCAACTGTCCCCCTCTTACAATGCTGTTATTGCTAGTATCACTCAGCCCTCTGTCATGGCACCAACGATCAATTGTTAGGCTGATGGGCCTCCTTGATCATGTGAACAGCTGGTTCTGGATGTCAACAACAAACTGGTTGATCCACCATGAGGTGGTCTATTTATAAGACTGAGTTTGTTGCAGCTCCTCTGACTGAATAAGTCCTTTGGATAAAAGATGAAATGTTTCAACAAGAAAAATCTATCCAGAGGATCTGGTCAGATTTTTCTCCCTGGATTACTGAGCAGCATCAGGACGTTTGGGCTGCGTTCACGGCAGGTCTCGACGCTCGGATCAGATTATCCAGTTAGATCCAGTTATTTGGTGCGGTCCGTTTACAGTTCTGAAGACACGACGTCATGCTCGGCACGCCGAGTTCAAGGAAATCAATACAGACGCTACACGTATTAGCATGTGTGGATCGGTTCTGAAGTAGAGGGTGACACGGGAGTGGATTTTCACTCCCGTCTCATCCCACTCCCAAAGAAAAAAATCTTGTCCCATCCCAGTCACGTGAGTAATATTAAAGTTGACTCCCACCGTGCAGGAATCACGTGACCCGTGGGATTCCTGACAAAATGTCATCGTGCACTCAGAACCAGTGAAATTACTACCTGACGTGCTCGTTTGGTCCGGTGTTGGCGTTTGATCGTGCTTCTTGACGGCCCCTCCAGCTCAGCGTTGTATTTCTGGAGCGCGAGCAGCGAACTCGAGTACCGATAAGACCCGACACCAACGTTGGCGTTCCCGTTGGTTCTCAGTCTTCAGGACAATAAAAAAGACCAACTGGACTCGTGCTCTGGAGCTGAAGAGTGTGGAGTTCTGAGCTGTAACCTGCACGTGCAGTACCACGTAGACCTGTCACGATAAACAATAAATCAATTAATCGCATGATCAATGAAAATTATCAAACATTTTCATTTATCGGCTTTATCGTTTCTTCGTGTCTCTCTTTCTACTGAAGACACTCGATGACAAAAGATCAACTCCGGTTCTTCACTGACCCCTCCCTTTCTTTTTTCTCTTTAAAATCCGTTTTGTCTAAAATCATGTATTCAACTCGTTAAAAGAAGCTAAGCTACGAGCTAAGCTAACAGGCCGACCTCGGGAAAAATCCTCCGTCTTGTCGAAGCTCCAAAATTCACGGTTGAAACCCGTGACTTTGTGTAAAAAGTTGTTTTTCTGCATAAAGAAGCTGAGAATTTTACTGATTTTTTTTATTAAAAGCTTTGTGTGATAAATGCTACAGAGCTCAAACCACACCGAGCGTCCGCCATTTTGAGAACTGAAGAGACTCACCCCATGTCATGTCAAGGAGCCTCCCTCATTTTTCTTATAGAGACACACTGCTGCTCCCTCACTATCCATCCTTCAGTTCAGACAGTCTTCTACTGCCATCCGGTGATCAAAAAAGGTACTACTCAAAAATTTACCAACATTTCTCCTTAAATTTGACCATAATTACTAATTATTGTTAAATTTCAAACAATATTATCGTTTATCGCAATAATTTCTGAGACAATTAATCGCCCAACAAAATGTGTTATCGTGACAGGCCTAGTACCACATGAGGAAGACCTGGGTCAAATTAGAATAAAAAAAAAATTCATATTTTCATGTTCACATCATGAAAAACATCAGATTTGGGTCACATTTGTCTGCAGCGGCTCCGAGAAGCCTCAACGTGTTCAGCTCCAAACATTCAAAAAGTTCTGTCACCGAGCTGAGAATGGTTGGACGTCTGCAGGGATAAATTCATGTTTTCACTTCCCGTGTTCGATAACGTGCCGTGCGCTGTACGTCGTGTTTGTTGTGTGTGATTTGGAGCAGCGCTTGTTCTGCTGGGTGGATCATCGTGCTGGAGGACGGCGTGCCACGCAGAGATAAGTGCGTGTTGTCGGCTCCAGAAGCCAGCAGCAGCGAGCAACGATCAGGAAACTGCAGGAAGGAAAATACGAAGGCTGCTGATCCGTATTGATCCGTGCCCGAGTTTCCAAACAAACCTGAAGCCAGCTTTTCCCCACTCCTCAGAAAGTGACACTTCCTGTGCGACGATCTGAGAAATGAAGTTTCAGAGCTCGGAAACTTCCGCCCTTTAATCCCACTCGTTGAACAGAAGTCTCACTACACCAGAGGAGTCTGTCCTCCAGGACACAAAGTATCAGTCAGCACTTTGTTACAGCCCGACAGAGTCAACCAGGTGAACGATTGTAAAACTAATCCTCCTGAATGTTGCCCAGTTTGATCATGTTTACCTCGTTTACTTCACCGGACACACCCACTTTAAAATGAACTCTGACCCGTTGAGGCTGATTTACTGCGTCGGGAAAAGACTGAACCGGTCCCTCGTGGTTCTGGAGGAGTTCTGGCCCACTCCTCTTTCCATGGTTGGGTTCTGCTCAGCTCTCTGAAGGTCCACCAGAGTTTCAGTCAGGATGAGGTTCTGGACTCTGACTGGACCGTGAGACCCGTTCTGTTGTAGACCAGCTGATGGGTTTGGATCATGGACCCAGTTTGTTGGACAGATGGACTCATGTTGGGTCTACAGAGGAGTTCTGGTCCACTCAGTGGCTGACAGGAGCCTGAACCATCAGCCTCCACCACCGTGCTGACAGCTGGGAGGAGCCGTCTGCTGCAGTGCATTCTGGGTAAACATATGTCCTCTGCTCTGGTTCTGGTCCAGAAGTCTAGTGGTTCCTTCAGATGCTTTCCAAACCTAAGTCGAGCTGCCATGTTGTTTTTAAAGAGAAGAGGCCATGACCTTTGACCCGCTGACTGAGGCCTGTAGAGCCACTGCACGGTCTGACCTTCAGGGTGAATTAGCTGTGAAGACTGTCAGCTGTCTTAAATGTTTTCCACTTGTGGATAATCGTCTTTCTGTAGAACAATGGACTCCAGATGACCTTTGACCCTCACCAACAGTTGCTTCTCTAAGGTCATTGCTGATGTCTTTCCACCCTGTCGTTGTGGTAACACATCTGAATGCGCCCCCACTCATTTGATCTGCACCTTCCTACTTCATATGAAAGTAGAAAGGATGGACTTCACTTCAAGACTAATGTTTAGGTTTCAGTTTAAAACCTGTTTGTTTATTTGTTTGTTTGTTTGTTAACTGGCATTTCCATCAACGGAACCAGTAGCCTCAGTTTTACTGGTCGTGCCAGTTCGAGAAAAGCAGCCCAGCAGTCAGAAAGCCACTTCAGGAACCGTCCGATAAATCAATGTTGCAGCCTGCCAGCAAACCAACCGGTTACCCCATCTGCACCCGGCTGAGAGAACCAATCAGCAAGACAGTCAGTCAGCCGTGCACACCCAGCCGCGGCGACTCCCCCGTCATGTGACCGAGGCGGTTCACCCCCCCACACCCCCCCACATTCAAAAATCAATACTCGCAGCCGCGGCTGCGTCTCTGTGTGTGACCGTATCGACTGGATAATGTCAGCGTGGTATCGGCTGTGAAAGCGTTCGTGTTGCCACATTCACACAAGCCGAACCCTCGCTTTGTTACACCAGAACTCTTCCTCCTACACAAAGCTTCACCGCAGCTAAATGATTTCAGTCTGAACTCAGAATCCAGTTCAGTGAAACCAGATTTAACGTGTTGTAATTTGTAAAAACCGCTGGGTTACGGAGCACCAAAAGTGCCTCATTGCGTAAACAAATACTTTGATAAATGTTTAAATGATGAATAATTTTAAGCTGAAGGAGATCCTTTGTGTTTAAAAGCAAAATCCACTTCAGGCCAGAGTCTAAACTTTATTGTGATCCTGTTTATATTTATTAGTATTCAGTATTCAAGTATTCAGTTCCTGCATGTGTCCAGTTTCACTACTTTCTGTCTAAACAGGTCTCTCTTGAAAATGAGTTCTTGGCTCAATGTGACTCGTTTGTCTAAATAAAGGTCGAATGAAAAAGTTTTAAGTATTATTAAGTACCTTAAACTATTCCGGACGTTTTTCGGCACCGTTCTCTTTCCACATTTTTTCCTGCTATTTCAACAAATCGTGAATCAAAACGTTCGGCTCTTTCAGGACAAACCTGCTGTGACTTTTGGTTTTGGTGCACCTTTAGCTGTTTGAAATATTTAGCCTTTTCTGACGTTTTGTTCTCACAGAAAATGAATTGAGCTCATTTTCCATCCTTCAAATCTTTAGATGTGTTTACAACTTTTTACTGCTCCTTACACATTTTGTTCTGCTTCAGCTTCACTCAGCTTCCTGCTGCAATTTAAACTTTTTTTCAGCTGATTTCAGCTAATTTCAGCAGTTTTTTTCAGCTCTTTAGTGCTTCTTTCAGATTATTTCTGCTAACTACAACTTGTTTGTGCTTCTAACTTCTTTCTGTTAATTTCAGCTCGTTTTGCTTCTAAGCTTATTTCTGCAAGTTTCAGCTTTTTCTTCTATTTCAGGTACTATTTAGCTTTGTTATGCTAATTTCAGCTTTTTCAGCTAATGTCACATTTTTTTATACTCATTTCAACTTTTTTCCAACCTAAATCAGCAAAAATGTTCTCTTCTCGTAATTTAAGCTTCTTTCTGCCTTTTTAGCTACTTTTCAGCTGTTGTTTGATAAATTCAGCTTTTTTTTTCAAATCATTTCCACATTTTTGTGCTCATTTCAGCTTATTGAGCATGCATCAGGTCATTTCAGCTTCTTTCAGCCTAATTGTGCAACTGTTTTCTTTCTGCCACTTTAAGCTTGTTCTACTTTTTCAGCTACATTTTTGCATTTTTTTTAGCTAATTTCAGCTGTTTTCAGATAAATTTAAGATTCTTGTGGTGATTTCTGCTACTTTCAGCCTAATTAACTTCTTTCTGCTAATTTCAACTCTTTATGCTCCTTTCAGCTTTTTTCTGCTAGTTTAAGCTTTTTAATGTAAATTTAAGCTTTACCAGCCAATTGCACATTTTGTGAGCTCATTTCAGCTCCTTCCACATGCTTCTTTTCTGGCCCGCCTTCTTTAGCCTCTGTGCCCCCCCCCCCCCAACATGAGCGAGCTGAATGCCGTAGTTAAATGCCCACAAATGTTCAAAGGATAAAAAGAAACAAGAAAACAATCTAAATGCTCAATCAGCATTCAGTCTATTGCTCTGGGCCCCTCATACTGGTCATACTGGTCATACTGGTCAGACTGTGAACGTCTGAACTTCCCGTCTCGACCTTTAGAACGGCGTTTGAACTCGGCGTGTGAATGTGACTCTAACGATAATCCAGATTATTTCATTACGCCCTCTAAATTTCTCTTATTAACCTCTGTGGGCCTGTGCACAATTAGCCCCGTGCGTTTCGCCTGCATTTCATCAACACGGTGACTGTTTCCAATTACAGCCGCCGCTCCAAATGAAATTAAACTTTTCAGCGTCGCTGATATATTGCCAATATATTAGCCGTATTAATTACGAGCTCTGCGGCCGTGCTGAACCGTGCAGCTCCGGCTGGTCGTCCACCCATCACTTCCTCCCACAAACGCAGGCACTCTCCGAGGCGTGTGTGACCAGCTGTTCGGCTGTGTGTGGGTGTGTGTCTAATTCCTGTTGCATTGTGGGAGTCCATTATGCTGTCGCCTGGTGAATGTCTTCTATTGACTCGGCCTTGACATTATAAGCTGCTCACTAATCTCTTCACTCCATATATTAGTAGGACTCGATCTTCTTCTCATCATCTTCCTTCTTGTTCTCGTTTGTTCTTCTTACTGAAACCGACTGTTGACGAATCTTTTTCAAACCACGAACTTTATAATTTGTATACGCCCGTTGAAGGTGCAACGTTTTATAGAACGGTGTCCGTTCGTAAACTTTCTCTTGTCCTGCCCAGAACTTCATCATCATTAGACAGAGTGTCACATAGTCAAGGTCACAAATTAAGGTCAAAGGTTATACAAAGCCTTTGCTTGTCCTGCTATATAATAGTTTGTGGACGGGCGTATAATGTGCGCATGAGGTACTTTTGTTTTATTTGGATAAATAAAGGAATGGACAGCTTCCTGCCCCAAGTGGAGGAGTTCAAGTATCTTGGGGTCTTGTTCACGAATGAGGGAAAAATGGAGCGTGAGATCGATAGGCGGATAGGTGCAGCGTCTGCAGTGAAGCGGGCGCTGTCCCGGTCTGTCGTGGTGAAGAGAGAGCTGAGTCAAAAGGTGAAGCTCTCAATTTACAGATCGATCTACGTTCCCACCCTCATCTATGGTCACGAGCTTTGGGTTGTGACCGAAAGAATGAGATCACGGATACAAGCGGCCGAAATGAGTTTTCTCCGCAGGGTGTCTGGGCTCTCCCTTAGAGACAGGGTGAGAAGCTCGATCATCCGGGAGGGACTCAGAGTAGAGCCGCTGCTTCTCCACATCGAGAGGAGCCAGTTGAGGTGGCTCGGGCATCTGTTTAGGATGCCTTCTGGATGCCTCCCTGGTGAGGTGTTCCGGACACGTCCCACCGGGAGGAGGCCCAGAGGAAGACCCAGGACACGTTGGAGGGACTATGTTTCTCGGCTGGTCTGGGAACGCCTCGGGATTCCCCCGGAGGAGCTGGACCAAGTGGCTGGGGAGAGGGAAGTCTGGGCCTCCCTACTTAGGCTGCTACCCCCGCGACCCGACCCCGGATAAGTGGAAGAAAATGGATGGATGGATGGATGGAAGGAATGGACAATCATTTTAACTTGTTTTACAAGATTATAGTTTTAAAAGGTAACGCACTACTAACTCTACCACAAGGTGGCAGTAATGAGTCAACTCTTTAGTTTATTAAAACAGAAACTGATGAAGAACAAGACTCTTCAGTGTCTTCTTGTAGTAAAAAGTTACATTTCTCCACCTTTTGTTCTTGGGCATGAATTCAGCAACTGAGGTTAAAAAGGTTATAAATAATTAATCGCTTAGATCTGCATCTTAGGTTGTGACTGTTGGTGACAAACTGCGAGCGTAAAGCGTGAGGTAGTTCACTCAACGTTTTCAAGGGTTCTTAAATTTTGTCCCAAACAAAATGTCTCTCAAAGTTGTCACAGAATTGTTGAGAGAACGTGATAAGAAAATTGCCACAACTGTTCTTGATTTATTCCACCAAAATCTCAAACATGTAAATCACCAAGGACTCGTAAGACTTTATCGACCGCAAGGCAGTTTTTGAATCGTTTGCTGTTTGATGAATGTTTACCTTAAGCCCCGCCTCTTCCTCCTTCAGCGTCACCATGGGTCTGCCCCTCAACCCACCAGCGGACGCAGCTCGTTCTGCTCGCCATGCCCTTTCTCTAATCGCCACCGCCCGACCACCGGCCTTCATCACCACCATCGCAAAAGAGGTGAGTCCGATCGGCCGACCGGCGGCTTCAGAGGGTCGTTCACCGGTGAGGTCGCTCTCGACCAGCGTCGATAGAGGGGTGACTTGTGCGTTTTCTTTGGCTTCAGGTCCATCGTTACAACGCAGCTCAGGCAAACTCGCAGTCCCAACAAAATGTCCACACGACCACTCTGTCCCGAGCCAAGACCGAGATCCTGCGAGTGATCGACATCCTGATAGAAAAGATGCCCGGAGATGTCGTCGATCTGCTGGTCGAAGTACGCAAAAATTACACTAGACGTCCGCTTTCTTTATCGCAACGTATTCCACATCCCAGGAAAGGATTTATGGGTTTATGCCCAACAGTTGTCCAGAACCTGCCAATTCTGGTCTTTCTCTTTTTGCTCAGGTGATGGACATCATCATGTACTGTGTCGAAGGCTCTCTGGTGAAGAAGAAAGGACTGCAGGAGTGTTTCCCCAATATCTGCAAGTACGTGTGTTGAAGTGAACAACCTTGAAACCAGTAGGGTGTGAACTCATGGAGTATCTGACGACCAGTACCAGCATCAGAGGTCAGAGGTCAGAGGTCAGCTCACATCAAATGTGCTTCAGGGCTCATGGAAGGACCGCTGAGTTTCTGTGTGTCAGGCTTCATCTCTGACTCTGACCAGCTGAACTCTGGAGATCTTTAAAGAACTGACTCTGGTCCGGTCCGTCTGTGGGAACTTGGTGGTGAACACATTAAGTGGTTACCAGTTGAGTTTTGATGAATTCATGTGTTCATTTGTTCAGGTTTTACATGGTGGGTTACTGCGACCGCAGCCACCGCATCGCCGTCGGAGCTCGGCAGGGTTCAGTGGCGCTCTACGATGTTCGGACCGGGAAATGTCAGGTATGACTCGGCAGAAACACTCCGTATGTCCATCATTTAACCAACCATCCATACATCCATACATCCATCCATCCAACACCCATACATCCAACACCCATCCATCCATCCATCCAACACCCATCCATCCAACCATCCAACACCCATCCATACATACAACACCCATCCATCCATCCATACATCCATCCATCCATACATCCATCCATCCATCCATCCAACACCCGTCCATCCAACACCATCCATCCATACATCCAACACCATCCATCCAACACCCGTCCATCCAACACCCGTCCATCCAACCATCCATACATCCAACCATCCAACACCCATCCATCCAACCATCCAACACCCATCCATCCATACATCCATCCAACACCCATCCATCCATACATCCATCCAACACCCATCCATCCATCCAACACCCATCCATCCAACCATCCATTCATCCAACCAACCATCCAACACCCATCCATCCAGCCAACAACCAACCATACATCCAACTAACCATACATCAATCTATTTATTCAACCACTATTCATCCATCCATCAATCCAGGAACTCTGTTCATTCATTCAGTCATTTTTAGCTAAAATGTAATGTCTGTTCTAACTTTCTTTAATCTCTTTTCTTGCACGTATTTTTTCCTAGAAAACAAAGGTAGACATTTATTATGAACATGAAGTTATAAGATGAGGTGATCAGAGTTGTAAGGGTGGAGTTTATGTCTCTAAATTATTTTTCTTGGTAACTGATAAGTGACAGAACATACTCTGTTTATCATGTTTGTTGGTTGAACCTACATTTGTTTGATTGTGTGTGAAACAGTCTAGTTTGTGTTTCATGTGTGTGTGTGGGTGTGTGTGTGTGTGCACGCTGGTAATTTGTTGGGTATTGATTTTCAGTAACCTGAGCAGTCTAGTCTAGTGGAGGGGGTCATTTATATCTGATAACAGCAAAGTCCCATTCACCCAACATCCAGTCTGATTGTGTGTGTGTGTGTGTGTTTGTTTGTGTGCGTGTGTGTGTTTTGTGTTAAAAACAGGAAACAAGCGTGTGTGTGGTATTTCCACTAATTAACATTCAATAGATAATGGACCAGCGTGTTACAAGTGTTTTATTTCAAGTGTAACGGAGAGCTTTCGTCTCGATTAATAGACTTCAGAATCTTTTAGGTTTTATTGATTCAGATTCTTCTTATTGATTGTGACATTTTGTGGTGCTGCCGGCGAGTGTTGCTTCACGAAATAAATCCCATCGAAGGGAGATTTTAGCTTCGATCCAGTATTCCTCTGTAAACTATTGAAGCAAAAGGAACTGGACTTTTTCCCCTTTAACACGTTAGATTTTTAACAGGATTAATTTCTTTTTGCGGGCGTCATCGTCTGCGGTGCTTGCGGTTGTTGGCGGTGCGTACGGTCGGCGGCGGTGCGTACGGTCGGTGCGTACGGTTGTTGGCGGTGTGTACAGTCGGTGTGTATGGTCGTCTGCGGTACGTACGGTCGTCTGTGGTGCGTACGGTCGTCTGCGGTACGTACGGTCTTCGGTGGTGCGTACGGTCGGCGGCGGTGCGTACGGTCGTCTGCAGGGCGTACGGTCGGCGGCGGTGCTTACGGTCGGCGGCGGTGCGTACCATCTTCTGCGGTGCGTACCGTCGTCGGGTACGGTCGGTGCGTACGGGCGGTGCATACGGGCGGTGCGTACGGTCGTCGGCGATGCTTACGGTTTTCGGCGGTGCGTACGGTCTTTGGCGGTGCGTACGGTAGTTGGCGGTGCGTACGTTTTTTTGCGGTGCGTACGGTTGTCAATGGTGCGTACGGTCGTTGTTGGTGCGTACGGTTGTTGTTGGTGCGTA